AAGTGTACCAGGATTCTCATTTATTCCTCTATCGAGGGTGTTAAATCGGTGGATAAGGTATGACTCTCGTTGTTCACGTTCTCGATTTGATTTGAATCCCGTCTCTAAGAGCGTTACTGATAGTTTGTCGAATGCATGGTCGGGAAGATTGAGATGTTTTGATAGAGGTAGACTTGGGGCTGATTTCGCATGGGCTCTGTGATTATTGAAGCGAATCCTAAATGGTGTTTCTGTTTGTCCGATGTACTGCATACCACACACGTTGCATTCGAGTAGGTACACCACATTAGAAGAATCGCATGTTAGGTTTCCTCGTACGTTAATCGAAAACTTGGATTGCGTGCTGGTTGCTTTGTCTGTTTCTCGCATCGCCTTACATACAAGACATCGTGGCTTTAAGCAAGGGCGGCATGAATTATTGGGGGGTGATGTGTTAATTTGGGAGTGGACAAGGGTGTCTTTGAGGTTACGTGGTCGTCGGTAAACGACGCCTGGAGCGGATGGGAATGCGCGTTTCAGACGTTCACTTTGTTCCAGAATGTTGTAATGTCGTTTAAGGATTTTGTTTACATTGGGGAAGTTTGTGCTGTAAGTCAAGCAGAGGTTCGTTCGTTGTGGGTCTTCTCGTGGTGGTCGCTTCATAAGTATATATATATATATATATATATATATATATATATATATATTATATATATATATATATATATATATATATATATATATATATATATATATATATATATATATATATTATATATATATATATATATATATAATTTTTGATACTTTTCTGCGCACACTGTGACTTCAACGGATACCGCACGTTCTCGTCTGTTTTATCTCGTGTGTTCGCATGTTGCGCGCAATACTAACAGAACGATCTACAATGATTGTGAACCTTCTCGAACAACGAGACACAGTTTCTCTGAGCAATCCTGACCCATGCTTTGTGGGTGAAAACCGAATCAAACAAAAGTTAATATAGCCCCGCCGCGGTGGTCTAGTGGCTGAGGTACTCGGCCGCTGACCCGCAGGTCGTGGGTTCATATCCCGGCGGCGGCGGCTGCATTTCCGATGGAGGCGGAAATGCCATAGGCCCGTGTGCTCAGATTTAAGTGCACGCTAAGGAACCCCAGGTGGTCCAAATTTCCGGAGTCCCTGACTACGGCGTCTCTCATAATCGTATGGTGGTTTTGGGACGTTAAACCCCACATATCAATCAAATCAATCAAAAGTCAATATAAAAACGTGCGTGCCGTTGCCTCCCACCCTCTTCTGAAGAAGTAACGTCCGGAGGCTTAAAACAGAACACGGGGGGGGGGGGGGTGGAGGGTGCATGAACAAAAATAACAATAAAGAAAGAAAATACCATAATAAATAAGTACAAGCAATAAAGCACAGAGAAACAAGTACTACAGTGCTCAGGTTGGTTAACACGCATGAAACGGCTTGAGGCGCACGACGTGAACGACTTCAGGTCGTGCACGGAGCCATTCCCAAGAGGGCATGGCTAAGGCCCCTATACCTTCGAAAAAGTACAGCCTTCTTTTTTTTTCACCTGCACCGCTTGCTCCTCTCCCAACCGGAGCTTCTTGTCTCTTCGGGTGGATGCGGCGAATAATCGGTTCTCGCCGATCGGTGCCATGTTGGATGCACCAAAGCGCCACTGTGTTGCTTGTTCTTTATCACCTACATTATCTGCAACGCCCATGAAGACATGTAAAGCTTTAAAAAACGATTACAAATTGCGCCGCAGAGGTCATACATCTCAGAACGGCGTACTGCGTGCATAAGTCATTTGACAGGCAGAGGAGAGGTAGCATGTGAAACGTCCTGTAGTTCTGAGCGAGCACTTTCATGGACATTGTTGACATTGCTGCAGTTGTGAAATATCGAAATAGTTTGTACACACGGGAATTACTCCTTCACAAACGGTGGGACTTAAGACACCACAGCTGCGACCTAAATATTTTTACCGGTTATATAGTTAGCGTGCAGAGTTTATATAGTTAGCGTGCAGAGTTTACTTAATTTAATTTCAACCTGTTCTCAATAAAAGCAGTTATGTATACCAGCACCAAATACACAAGGAAACACTATGCTGTGAAAGAAGTTTAAACGACGTGCAATTCGCTACAACTTGTGCATGACTTGCAGCAGCCCTTCTGCCGTAATATTGATGGTGAGCGCACCCAGTCTTGCTGAGAAAGTGAACGCAGAAGAATCACTACATAAAGCCGTATGCGAGGCACGGCGCACGGCTTTACAGAACGGCTGTAACTAATGCAGCAGCGGCGGCGCGCCACCAGCTCGAAAGCAACCTGCAAGCTCGTGGCACGTTACAGGAGAGCCACTGTCGCAAGCGAAAGAAAACAGCGACGCGCCGAAGAGGAGGCGGCGAGGGGCAGAGCAGACGGTGGTACTTTTACGAAGTATAGGGGCTTACGAAGTATAGGCATGGCCAGTGGCTGATAGTTGGCTAAAGGTCGGCAACCAGTCGGTGTCCAGTTTCGTCGGCGACACAAGTGGAATAAGTGGTCGGGCCATGACTGGCCATATACCACGTTGGCAGCTGGTCAGCCAACCTGCTTGGCCCGACGTCGTCGTTTTACCATCTGCCAACGCCTCTTGGACGTGGTCAGAATTTTTAGGTCGGTGACATATGCAAGCTCAGACGAACACACTTGTCCGTCGTGTAAGCAAATACGCACATTCATCATCATCAGCCTGACTACGTCCACTGCAGGACAAAGGCCTCTCCCATGTTCCGCCAGTTAACCCGGTCCTGTGCTTGCTGCTGCCAATTTATACCCGCAAACTTCTTAATCTCGTCTGCCCACCTAACCTTCTGTCTCCCCCTAACCCGCTTCCCTTCTCTGGGAATCCAGTTAGTTACCCTTAATGACCAGCGGTTATCCTGTCAACGCGCTACATGCCCGGCCCATGTCCATTTCCTCTTCTTTATTTCAACTGTGATATCCTTAACCCCCGTTTGTCCCCTAATCCACTCTGCTCTCTTCTTGTCTCTTAAGGTTACACCTACCATTTTTTTCCCTGATAGTGCAGGACCTGGCCAGCTTCTTACGTCAATCGAACGCCACTTTAGAAAAGTACGAATATCAAAGCAAAATGCAGATACAACGCCAAAGATGTTTCAGTTTATTTCGGCGTGCTGCAACTCGCAATTTAGGTGCAAGTGAGGGTCGCATGATATTGAGTTTGAGGCAAGCACTGCAACGTACATTCTCTAACGCTTAAAAGCGTTATATCTGAGCGTAAACATGATGCCAAAGCGATGAAATACAGCCGTCAGCAGCTTTAACTTGAACGCTTTGATGCGTGGCATCGGCCCGCTTGAACTGTGGTCAGTGCCTCCAAGCGTCTAACATGGTATATGCTTCCTGCAGTTAACAACAGATGTAGTGCGCGTTGTTTTCACAAGTAAATTTCTGTTTCCAGTCTGCCTGACCGGCAGGTCGACTGCACTCACTTGACATCTCGTTTTCGCCACGTTTCGCTCGTGGCAATACGCACTCGGCAATGCAGTTTACGAGATCTGATGAAAGCGCCAGAACACACAGCCTAGCGAGGAGGCACAACAAAACCGAGTCTTCCAATGTGCAGCCTAGTAAGTAAACGCAGCAAAACCGAACTTGCACGTATGTATCATTTTCTTTTTTAGTTGTGAGCAAGGGGGTGACGGACGATTATGTAAACGCCTGGAAGCGTTCTTTGAAAACGTGCCAAAAAGGGCACTGACACTTCAGCTTGTCGCTGTGTTCAGTGAGCGTTCCATTTTTTTAGTATCTCTGGCGGTCGGTACCAACAATGCTGAGGCGGCCCAAAGAGCTTCGTTGCCCCTCTGGTTCACTATCGGGTGCCTATACGTTATCGCGCGCGCCCATGGCGTTCATTGCTGTATGCTTATCTCGATAATGAACCATTGTGTGTGACAGCTTGCGCGCCTTACGAGTTTGAATTCGCAGCAAGGAATCACATCTATAAATAGCAGAGCAAATGCATGTTCACGGCATTTGTAAAAGTTGTACAGAAAATAAATCTTAAATGCTGTGGCATTGTTAATGTTTTGATTCAGTAATTTTCAGACAGCGTCAATTGAACTGTTCTCAGCAATTTAGAGTGTGCCTTTCTGTTCGATTCATTCTGTAACGGAAGATGTCGTATGGCACGCTATGTTTGGGCGTGTTTTCAGCAAGAACGACGCATAGATACAACTCAAACAAATCAGTTTTTGTGCGTAGTTATCGCATGAAAGCTTAAACTGCCTTCTCAACTTTAACAAGTCGTGGTTTTGGGACGCTAAACCCTAGATGTTCTCACCCGCACAAATGTTGTGCTACAGGACCACATCTTCCGTGAAGCGCGAACCGAGAAGGAAGGTACACTCTAAGTTTCGAGAACAGTTCGATGTATACGCCGTCTGAAAATTACTGAATCAGAACGTGAACAACGTCGTTGCATTTCAGATTTATTTTGCAACGTTTACAAACAACTTGAATACGCGTTTCCTCTGCTTTTTGTGCATGCGATTCCTTTTGAGCAGCATCTGCGAATGCAAACACGAAGGGTGCATAAGCTGTCGCACGCAATGTTCATTGTCGAGATAAGTATAAGACAACGAACGCCGTGGATGCACGCGATAACGTGCCACAAGCGAAACGTGGCGAAAACGGGATGCGAATTGAGTGCATTCGACCCGCCTGTCTGGCAGACTGGAAACAGAAATTTACTAGTGAAACCGACGCGCACTACATCTATACTTAACTGCAAGAAGCATATCATGTTAGACGCTTGGTGGCGCTGACCTCAGTCCAAGCAAGCCCAGGCCACGCGTCGGAGCACTAAAGTTAAAAGTGCTGACGGCTGTACATACGCGAGCAATGCATCTTACGTTCAGCTGGTACGAAGTTCACTTTACCAGGCAAGAATGAGCCCGGCGATTTTCGCTTTTGCAGTTGCATTCTCCATCCATATGTCGCTTCTTGTGCGTTGAACTGTTTTATTCCGCATGCTAGAAAGTTATGTTGACGGTTGCATTTCCTTTTTATATACAGCTGAGTGGGAATACATGGTGTCAACTTTCTCGGTTTACAACAAACGGCAAAATCAAGAGTGCGTGCCTAGTTTAGGTCGACATGGCGTTAGTGCCGCTCAAGAGTCGTGACGGCACAAGTGTGAAGATGTGCGATGCGTGGTAGCGGTTTCTTCACACACATTCGCGTTGCTCGATTGCATCGTGTTTCATCAAGAAGTCCGCGCAGAAGGTGACGTCGTATATCGCAACACGCCGGTGGTGAGTGTCGGTAAAGCCGTGGTTTGCCGCCACTCGCGCTTCCGTCGGCAGCAGCGAGGCTGTATGCGGACAGGCTTTCGACACCGGGACCATCAAACACGCCAAGGAAACTTGATCCGGTGTTGGTAACAATTTTTCAGCAATGTCATCCTGTTTTGATCTTCAAAAGGCCCTGCAACACTTTTTCAACGTGGTCAGAAAACGGTGCACTTTTTCAACATAGGAAAGGGGAGGTGCAAAGCCAGCCCCATACATTGACACAATGAAGAACGGGGAGGGGGCGCTGCGACAAACACTCGCCTCCCCCCCCCCCCCCCCCATATGTGCGCACGCTTATGGCTCGAGGCACACGTGGCACACAACAGTCTTAACACTTAACAGTCTCGAGACCCGTTGCACCAAAAGTTCGGTCGCTGCTTTACAGATGCCCCGCCGCGGTGGTCTAGTGGCTAAGGTACTCGGCTGCTGACCCGCAGGTCGCGGGTTCGAATCCCGGCTGCGGCGGCTGCATTTCCGATGGAGGCGGAAATGTTGTAGGCCCGTGTGCTCAGATTTGGGTGCACGTTAAAGAAACCCAGGTGGTCGAAATTTCCGGAGCTCTCCACTACGGCGTCTCTCATAATCATATGGTGGTTTTGGGATGTTAAACCCCACATATCGATCTATCTAGCTGCTTTACGGATGCAGCACCATATCTGCGAGTGACGAGATGGGCGCTGTGGTTCTAGGCACACACGGTACTCTATTCACGGTCTCAAAACCCGTTGGCACCAAACGTTCGGTGGCTGCTTTACACACGCAACACTACGTCCGCGAGTGACGAGATGGGCGCTGTGGCTCTAGGCACACGCGGTACTCGACTCACTCTCGCGACCAATTGGCATCAATTGTTTGGTCGCTATTTTACAGATGTAACGCTATGTCCGCGAGTGACGAAATGGACGCTGTGGCACGAGGCGCACGCGGCACACGGCTCACAGTGTCGGGGCCAGTTGGCACCAAACGTTCGGTCGCTACTTTACAGATGCAGCACCATGTCCTTCAGTGACGAGAACCTCTGCAGCGTTCGCGACACGTGCTGCTGGTGTTGCAGTTCTTTGGCACACCTCGGTGACTCCATGCCCAACAGCTCCGAGAGGAAGCGTACTTTGCGGTCGCACTCGTCGAACGACTGCCTCCGGCGCGCTGCCTCGCGGCCGATCACTGCGCTGCGCAGAAGCGAGCACAGGGATTGTGCCGGTCCGTCGCACGCCACATAGAAAAGTAGGGCACCTGCGTAGCTTAGAGCCACGTTGGCCACGAAGTCCCGAATCTGAAAATAAAAAAAGTAATAATGCCGGTAAGAAAAATACCTTTGGGCCTCGTGTACTGAAACATACATGGTAACGTTACCAATCAGCTACTAAGAAATTTAACTTCAGCTAAATAGGTCGGACGTATAGGATTGGACGTAGTTGAAAACAAACTTCGTTCAATCGGCGCTCGAGTCGTCGTAGAAATCGCCGCTGCCAAATTTTGAAAAACAGGCACAGCTCGATGCATTGTGGAGTGGCGACGCCGGTTTCTATTTTCTGGCGCCAGTATCCAGTGGCCTAGCTGCAAAATTTTTCGGGGTATGTAGGTTCGTGGGTGCGTTTGTATGTTTTCATATATATATGCAAGAAAAATTTTGAGAAATTTGAACCCTCCCCTCTCTTCTACATACCCCCCTGCCAGCGAAGCGTTTGGGGCGTCGATGCGTTGCGGCGTCATTTTGACGCACCTCGAAGTAGCAACCCAGTCTAGCTTCGACAAATCGTTTTCTTTTTACTTGAGATTACTAATGAGTTTCTCAATAAGTTAAATCGCTCTGCCTGTTACAGTGTTGGCAATGCCATTTGAGGACTGCAGCATAATGTGGTTAAAAGTGCCAGAGTTTCCCTTTATTGCAAACGAAAATGATTGTTATCCGCCTGTCTGGAGCGCGCACACACACACACACACACACACACACACACACACACACACACACACACACACACACACACACACACACACACACACACACACACACACACACACACACACACACACACACACACACACACACACACACACACAAATACCCCGTGTACTCAGATTTGGGTGCACGTTAAAGAACCCCAGGCGGTCGAAATCCGGGCCAAGGAACAGGATGAATTTTTTAGGCAGCTGGGAAGCTTACTTTCGAAGAACTCACATGGACTTGCCTTTTAGCTTCGTACATGTTACTGACAGACCAGTAACATGTGTGCTCTAACAGGTACCTAGAAAAAAAAAACGTGTGCCTCTGATAGGCGGACGTGAACAAATTTCACCAGCTCGCCTCCGTGATTTTTTGATGGGCCATGGGTGCAAACAGTTGAGATTTGGAGGTCATGCCGAAAAGCCACACAGGAGCGATGGTCGTATCTTTTGAACTATCTCAACTATCTCGGTCATTCCTTATTTATCGCCTGATGTGTAATGGCAGTGTACTTGTTCTTGTACTTGCTCGATATCCAAAACGTTTTGTATTTACCATAAATATTTTCTCTACACCTGTTCACTCATCAGAATCTGCTACTACGCATCTAAACTCTTGAACACGTGTTTTTATTACACGGTATACAATGTCGCAGCAGTATACGTTATCAATGGTATAATGGCGAAAAAAAAAAGGTGAAGCGCATTCAGCTACCACAAGTTGACGTGTGATCCAAACTCACGACAAATGCTTGAGCAGACTCGAGATTGTTGCGTGCTGAGAGGACGCCGTGCATGACGATCATCCAGGAGCAGAGATAGGCACCAAGGGAAAGCCTTCCCAATGCGGCAACAGTACGGCAGCCAAGAACGTCGTGGACTAGTCCTGAAAAAAAAAAGAATAGACCTGAGCAAGGGTTTCAGATTATGGAGATGGAGAGGCATACTCGACACAAGTAGCGTATGTGTCATAACTGTAATGTATAAAATATCGGATGGTATCTAAGCACCTTTGCGGGAAGGGCTACATGTTCCCGCGCTTCCGGAGGAACGACCGCCCACAACAATTACGGGCGCCTTCTCTGAGCCACAGTAAATGTACGACACGATGCGCATAATGACTCATATATCGTTGCAGTGCAACCAAAATCTTGTCCGTGAGGTGTTCGTATGCGCTAAAACACTGTCCTTCATCCAGCATCCACATCAAGTGAACTAACAGTGTCGCTGTTGGTTTTTTCAGAATGAAGAGACGAAAATGAAAAAAAAAAACTATATCGTCAAAAGATGTTGGCGGCTTAGGCAGATGTTGCCACGACGTGAGGTCGGCTCGTTGTGGTCAGCACCACATGGTCGGCATAAAATACAAGGCGCTAACATATATGGGCGGAATGAAATGGGTGAGCAGTTCATTACTGTTCAATACAGATGCAGTGAACTTTATAAAAAAATGACCCAAGAGACGATGCCCAATTATGTTGTGTAGCAGTCGGTTACTGTAATTCGATCGAATTTAGCTCTTTACTTCAGACAAGAATGCCTTGTGTCGCTGAAGTGTATTTCTTGGCTTTCAGAAAAAGACGACTCCTTAGAGGAAAGTAACACTTGCTTATTTTCTGTAACATATACAAGTTAGAACGAGCTGTACCAGATTTCCATGTTGTGGCGGCCCAGAGCACGTAGGCGATGGCCGCGCACCAAGCGAGTCGAATGCCCACGATGAACAGGACCGAGGCGGCCGCCGTTGGGGCGGGGACCCACGACTTCCAGAGGCACGGGTACAGGGCGCCCCAGATCAGCGCAGCGGCTGACAGAAGCCAGAAGACACCACGGACACACTGCGTCATAATTACGCCACTCATTACCGGTGAACCCTAAATGACACAGTCGTCAGACACCTCCTCCCGTCACCATGTCATCAACCGCGTAGTAGGTCACTCATGACACAGCGTATCTTTGTCTGCATTCCGTAAGAAATGACACGCCGTTCTTGATTTTTCCTACAGTATGATTGGCGGCATCGCATATCTGCAAAGAAACTGGAGAGATATGAAAAAAAAAACGCTAAGTCATTGTGCGAGGAGGAGCATGAGATGACGTACAGCGACTGGAGGGCTGTTTTAAAGCTCCTGAAATAAGGCCTAAACAAAATATGGTACTTGAGAAGCACGAACTGATGGGCTAGTTGGTAACTGATCTTAACTGGGGTGGGTGAAAAATTGAAGTACAAAAGGAAGACACCTAGACAGTGCGCTGCGTCTAGGTGCTTTCCCTTCGCACTTCATTTGTCGCGCACTACAGTTAAAAAAGCGCAAAGAAACTAGCAAACACATACAACCCGCAGTGAACAATGCGAGATGAAGCAGCCACAGCGTTGGTGGTTGACATGCTACCTAGCTTGCGCTTGCTTGTATTTCGGCCTCCTGACGTTCCTCGTCGTTCCATGCAGTGCGTTTATACGTTAATAACCCCCGTATTCGCTAGGCACGCTACCTTGATTCGAAAATGTCGATTACAGATCCACCTTCCGGCAAGAATGTGCGCTACATATCAGCGATAGCTGGCATCATTTTGTGAGAACGCGCGCTGCATCATTTTAGTCAAGTGGCACCTCTGTGGTCAGTTATGTCAAATGCAGGCTGGAATTCGAGTTCAGGCTAGTTTCCAAATCGGGGGAGGGGGTAAATCATGTGACTAATCGAAAAAAAAAGAGGCACAGGAGGCGATGATGACTATAGTTTGGTTTCTGTGTTTGCTTGTAGTACTTAAAAAAAACGTCAACAAGAGCAACGAAGAACGTCGTTCGCATCGATCGAACTAATATCGAACGTTGATCGCCATCTTGTGCACTGTGCATGCACAGTGTTCACGGAGTGAAACCTCCCGCCGAGTATCACCACTGCTGAAGTGTGAGGTAGTTATTTTCACGCCTGGGTGGCACACTGTTTTAGCTGCGGGATATTCATGAATTGATAGCGGCATCCATCTTGGGTCGAACGCTAACGGCAACAATCCTCCCCCAACTTTTTTTTTTTTCAGTAGAGTGGGATAAAACGCCGTAGAAAACGAAACAGGAAGCCAGATTTCCGCACATTTCATATTCGTGCTATTGGTACAGTTGCTGCACGGTCCTGTACCACAAATAGCTTATTCTTTTCCTCTTCTCTAATCATTAGAAATTATTGCACAGCCCATATCACTATTGTGGTTAATGTTTACAGCTATGCAATTTAGAGCTATGTAACTCACATATTTTAATTCTACATTTCAGGCTACACTGGCGTAACTTTTACCGAAGCGTCTAAATTAGAGCCAACATTATCTTTAGAGACTATATCTCCTTATGATGTACTGTCTAACATTGTGTGCAATTTGCATAGCATAATTCAAAGGCACCCAATATTACATTAAAAGAAAGAAAATAAAGTAACACGTAATTTTATGCGAATTTCAGCAACGAATTGGAAATGGCGTATAACAAAATACTTCATTATTCTGCGTTCAGTCATGTTCTAAGTTTACATGAAAGGGATCAAAATCATGGGCTCTAAATGTGTGCGCCACTAGTTTTGTGGTTGTGTTCATTTAAATAAGAGAAAAGTAATACTTTTGACGTTGGTTCTGGAACACGGAACGTCCAACGACACATTGTACGTCGTATAGTGCCTTCACGAAAGTTATCGGCCATAATCATAGGTAGCATAGTGAGGTGAAGTCATGCTAACTATGCAGAAGGTTCCATTCGTCCAATGAGCAATTTATCTTGTTGTATTTTGAGCACAAGTACACATCTTGCACATACAAGTTTGAGCTAGCCCCGCTAGAGTGGACAGTCGTCGCGGCACGACGTGGTTATTTCAAGGCTCGAGAAACTGCGAACTGTGGACACTACAGCCGACGCACTAAAAATTTTGAAGTCGCGTCTGAATCTTTGAGCAGTGCAGGTGGAGAATGCAGAATCACGTTCTCACATATCAACCTGTCACGTGGTCAATGTCTATCATGTTTTGTCATTACCTGTATGTGTGCTTTGTGGTTGCACACGCTTAGACTATGCTGCTGTTATATGGGACCCATACACAAAAGGTAATATTCTGAAACTGGAAAATGTCAAAAAAAAAGAGCCATACAGTTCACCTATAACGATTTCCGATGCAGCTCAGTACGTGACCTGCAAGCTCGAGCTGACCTAACGCCCTTAGCTGAAAGAAACCGCTCATCACGTTTGAAAATTTAATATCAGTTAATCAAGCTGCACTATACCGTAAACCCCAGCAAATGGATTTCGTTCTCCTCCGCTTATTCAGCGCACCAAAGGCACGGACTAACATTCAGTCTCTTCCGCTCTAGTAACAACTGCTTTAAGTATTCTTTTTTTTTCCCGAGAACAGTTACAGATTCGAATAACCTTAAGCAACATCGTTCAAGCAACTTTTTTCTGAGCATTTCAATTGTTTCTTGATGGCTGAAACACGAGCAGTTATTTTTTATCGTTACTGTCTGTTTGAATCTCCGTTGTCTGTTGCTTCGTTTCATTTGCATCTATACGGTACATGCTTTGCTGGGTCATGCATCCTGAGTTTATATTTAGTGAATGCGGGTGTTTTCCCTTTATTATTATTATTATTATTATTATTGACATATTCCTGTACATAGGTTTTATATTGCATTTTCGCTCATGCATTGTATCCCCCCCCTGCTAAAACTGCCGAAGGCGTTGCAGTAACAATAAATAAAATAAAAGCAGACAAATGAATGGGCGATGATCAAGTCTTACCTTAGAGATGCTTACGTTGCGAACTCTGGTTATCCAGTTGTTGAACAGAACGCCGATGATGAAGGCAGGGGCGTGCAGAAACGGCAGGTACACCACTTCACCAAGCGTCCTCGCGGATTCCCTGGAAATTCAACTGCGTTAGCAAACCTTCAAGTAATTTTTGGCGCTGTGCACCCAGGCATGTTCTTCACTTGAACGCAGTGCTTTCGTGAACATGTAGAGACGATGTCGTTTTCATCTGCGACCAACAATGTACACGCGTTTTGATGCTTATAGGTTACATATAAAATAGTTTAGTGGCACTAGCGAATCTCTATCATCAGCCTGCGGCAAGAAAAATGTTCAACACCCGCACTTCACGAGTGCCTGTGAGATTTTCGCGCTGACTGTTCATTTCTTCTGTTTATTGCATCTGCGTTTTCTGTATTATCTATTTTTATCCATTCTCCACGTCATTGGTCGGTAAACTCAATCATGAATCGACTCGCTTAGGCTCACCAGACTTGGATCGGGCCATGAGTCTGAGTGAGTTTTGTGACCTTGTGTTCGAGTGAGTACGGTTGATAAAAATTGAAGTAAAACAGAGTTTGAATGAAGCCGGTTGTGGAAAGCTTCGGTGAGTCTGAGCCTGAGCGAACCCTAAGGAGAAAAAATATTTCATCGGTGTGAGTGAGCTCTTCACTTTCTTTTTGCTCACAACCCCTGCGTAGGTTGTCCCGCCTGTTTGAAGATTCATTAGGCTATACGATTATGTGTATGAAGTAGATGCATGTAGCTACACATTACAGGATGTTGTTGCGATCATTAGGTGTTGGTGAATCGCCTTTCACAGGTTCGATATATCTGGCACGCGGAGTAGTTCAAAGAAGGCAGAACTAAAATAGGTAATAAATTTAATAATAATTACGTGGTCGCCATTACAATATAAGAAAAAGAAGTGTAGTGAGTACATTTTACAGCTTTGCTGTGTTTGCAGAATACTGCGCAACTGCGTAGCTCTCAGCTCAGTCATCGCACGCACGCACGCACGCACGCACGCACACGCACACACACACACACACACACACACACACACACACACACACACACACACACACACAAACACAAACACGCGCGCACACACACACACCCACACACACAAACACAGAGAGAGAGAGAGAGATACAGGGTGTGCCACATAATTTGAACCAAGAATTTGAAAGTGAAAGGCACTTAGGAGGCGAATTGAACCAAACGCATACTACTCGCACTAGCCTGTAGCTACTCAGGCTATTATTTATTTCTCCCAATATTAATTATTATTATTTATTAACGACCTATCTTTTAATTATGGGCTGGAAACTCATATTATGGACACTGAGATGTAGCGCACCTTCAGAAACCACCGACTAAATTGTTTCTGTACGATACGTCTACCGCTGTTATTTTTTCCCCGTTGTAAAGAAAGCCCGCGAAATGGGAAAAGAAGCCGTGTGACGGGCCGCGAGCGCACTGCTATAGTGCTGCTATAGTCTGTGTTTACAACGCGGAAAAATAACAGCGCTTGACGTATCGTACACGAAACAATTTATGCGGTGGTTTGTGAAAGTGCTCTACATATTAGCGTTCATATTTTGGGTTTCCAGTCCATACTTAAAAAACAGGTAACCAATAATCATTAATTAATTGGTATGGGGAGAAATAAAAAAAATAGCCTGATTACCTATACAGTCTAGTGCAAATATTACGCATTTGGTTCAATTCGCCACTGAGGCGTCTTTCATTTTCAAATTGTTGGCTCAAGTTATGTGGGACACCCTATATATATATATATATATATATATATATATATATATATATATATATATATATATATATATATATATATATATATATATATATATATATATATATATATAGTTGAAACATATGCAATTGAAACGTACATGCTGTTGATGGCCACGGGTGGCTCGTAGCCTCTGACGCCGACTGTGGCAGACACTGCTGCAAGTGCGACGATGCTGATGAAAGTCAGAAAGACACACGTCGTCCTCTTGAACCTGCAAAGTCACGCAATACGCCGAGAAGGAAAATTTAGCGCATGCATTTGGAATTCCCCACACGTTTTAGGAGCTTTCTATAGCGCTCATTTCTGTTAGATCACATGACTACAAAACCTATCACCCGCATATATATTATAATTCATGGGGTTTAGCGTCCCAAAACCAACACATGATCACGAGAGACGCCGTAGTGGAAGGTTTCGGAAATTTCGACCGCCTGGGTATCTCTAATGTGCACCTAAATCTAAGTACACGTGCTTCAAGCATGTTTGCTTCTATCGAAAATTCAGTCGCCTCAGCCGGGATTCCATCCCACAACCTTTGGGTTAGAAGTAGAGAGCCACAACCGCTAGGCCGTCGCGGCGAGTATGACCCGCATAACGTAAACTGGTTTGCGGTTTATGCCGGCACAAATTCTTAGAAAAAAAAAACACAATAAAAATTGCACCAAGCAAATATTTTTATCTGTTGGAATCAGGTTCGCGAAACTGCACTATGCAGGTAGTTTAATTTATGGGAATTATAGTTTCACAGAAAAACAATTAGGTTGCTATTTCAGCGATTTTCCTCAATATTTCATTACGATGATAGAACACTAAAAAAGCGCTCGTCCGTCAGCACGCATACACTGACTGCAAAATTTTCATGACCATGGACACTAAACATTCTAATTCCTAGGGATTCACGTTACAATACTACAACATGATTATGAGGGCGCCGCTGTGAAATAGTCCGAAAATTTCGACCGCCTGGTGTCCTTTAACGTGCACGAAGTACGCCGACCTCTATAGCACACCACCTTCAACCAAATGCGGGTGCCGCAGCCGAGATTCGATGCTGCGAAGTTCGGGTCAGCAGTCGAGTACCATAACAACCGCTTGGCACCACAAAATTTTACTTCGTATGCACACATATTGACGTTAGCTTAATACTGCGGTACTGCGGGTACATAGGTGGGGCCATCCAGCGGCGCTAAGATGAACTATGCAAGCACAGAATTGTTATCGCAGAAACCTATACAGGGCACTCGATTTCTGTAAAGGTGTAGATTCTCGGCAAGGATACAATGGGAGGTGGGAAGGAGGGGAGTGGTTCTTAGGATTGGAAATGAAAATAAAAGGGAACCCTGCGAGGGGGGTGTCCGCAGCGAAGTGCGACACCTGAGCAGTCGTTCGCAGGGGAAGGGGGCGGGGCAGGGTAATCGACTAGAGTGAAGAGAGGAAAAAAGGAAAGAGAAAGCAATACAAGAAGCAGAAAATAAATGAAAGATATGGGGGAGGGGAAGGTTGGACTGCCAAATCGTCTGCCAAAATCACGTGGTGTGAACTCTTTAACTTCACTCCCGCAGTGCACTGCCGTTAACAAAGTCCAGCAGCGCAGAAAGAGCACGCTCGATGTGCTCGTGGTGGCTGTTTGTGAACAGGAGGTGCTCAGACGTCCGAGGCAGGCTGAGAGATTATAATTCCGTTGACATTTTAAGCTATAATTTCTAAAGTACACTCGTGGAAAGCAAAGAAGCACGTTGCTATAATTGTGTTTTTTTAAGCGTCGCAACACATCAGTGTCCTTTCTTCGCTAACTCCAGTAACCAAATGTTCCGCAAATTCCTTTGCACGTATTGCCCCACCGCGATCGCTAGTGGTTATGGCACTTCACTGCTAATCCGAAGGTTGTAGGATGGAATCCCAGCTGCGGCGGCTGCATTTTCGATGGAGGCGAGAATGTTCGAGGTGAGTGCATTTAGATTTAGGTGCACTATAAGGAACCCCAGCGGGTCGAAACTTCCCAAACTTTCCACCACGACGCCTCTCATAATCATATCGTGGTTTTGGAACGTTAAACCCCAGATATTGATCAACTATTCCTTATCTTTTGGACATAATGGAATACCGTACACACTGTTTGCATGGTATGACAATATGAGAAGCACTAACCAGTGATCAAGGGCACTTGAGCGAACTCTAATCGTAACCGTAGAATCGTTCCACAGTTCACTGAATTACCGTGGTGGTAAGATTGGTATTGTTATTACAGTCATTGTGACTCCAAATGAGGAGGTTGTGCAATAATACGGACGCTTTCCTGCTGTGGAATCCCCCATATTAACCCCTGCTGATGAGTTTCCGCCTTGATTGCGTCACATATCGCTGACTGCAACACGCCACTTGTGAAAGTGACGTTCAGAACGTCGATATACGTATTGCATTTGATATCAGCATGTACTGAGACTGCTTGGGCGAGCTTTTGTTTTTGCTCAGAACAGCAGTTAAGAAAAAAATCCACCGTACCTAGGATCATCTTCCATGCATTAACTTGATGAAACGAAATGGAATAGAGGTGCTATAGCCACTAACCATTCAATCTGCCTGATAAACATTATCTTCACTTAAGCTCCTCGATTAAACAAGAAATTGTGCGGTCCTATAACATTTCTTTTTTCAGAACCATTATGATAACAAAATACTTTTCGTGTACACTGCATGATGTTCACGATAAAAAAAAAAAACAAAACAAATGTCAGTTGTACAAATGTTCGTCTTCTCAAAGACACTGCGTGGTTTTTATCAACTACTTTACCCATTCTCGTGCTGTGGTTATTTATTTACAGCTGTATCCTTGAACATTGCTATTCTCACCTTCTTATGAGCACGACGATGCCGGAGAGGGCGACGAATATCTGCATTTCGCAAGATATGTACCACAGTGGACGGTAGCACTGCCATGACATGAAAAGAGATAATAAAGCGGTACGAATGAATTACCTGCAGCGACGAATAAGAAAAGAAAACATGGCAAGTCCCTCCATCATAGCAATCGGTGTAACACGAAAGTAAAGGGTATCTACAGAGAAGTGGCATACTTTATGTAGAAATTATGAGAGTTTATACAGCATCTATTGGTGTATGGAAGCTACTCTCTTAAACATAGTTGATAAAAAGTTAGCAACTGCAAGCAAATAGGTACTAAATGCAGCGCTTGCATTGCTTGAACCATTACTAACCTTTTGCTACCCGTTTACTACCTATGTTAGCACACAGATTGTAAGTGGAATCAAATAGACAGTAACTACAGCATTTACTAACTTCCTTGCACCGTGACTAACCTTTCGCTAACAGGCCGTGAACTATCTAATTTAAAATAGATGGTAACACTTATTTTAATAAGTTATTACTATTAGTGAAATCGTCTCAACGTATCATCTTTATCATGAAAACTGACACAGGAGATATCAATAGATGATGAAAAAATTCTTTTTAAAATTGCGCAACCGAAATATGTAGGCATAGTACTGCCATTTTCAAAACGCAGAAGTACAAGCTAATGAACAATAAGCAAGTTCTGCACGCGTTTTAGTGGAGTATTACAACCAACTTAACAGGTGAGAAACAGTATACGGTTATGCAGAGTTAGCACCTTGGTCATTAGTTCACGTCGTATAAGCACGCGATAACATGTACCATGGCCGCTGGATGGAATCGCACTTTGATCAAGCGGCCGTGCATGTACGTGGGTGACCCCTTTGGTGTGCACTTATAGTTTCCATAATCAAATTAGAAAAAATTCGCAGTACTTAAGATCATCTTCCATGCATTACAGTGATGAAACGAGATGGAATAGAGGTGCTATAGCCACTAATCATTCAATCTGCCTGATAAACAGTATTGTCACTTAAGCTGCTCGATTAAACAAGAAATTGTGTGGTCCTATAACATTGGATATTTTAGAACCATTGTGATAACAAAATACTGTTAGTGTACACTACATGATGTTCACGCTAAAGAAAACAAATATCAGTTGTACAAATGTTCTTCTCAAAGACACTGCGTGGTTTTTATCAACTACTTTACCCATTCTCATGCTGTGGTTTTTTATTTACAACTGTATCCTTGAACATTGCTATTCTCACCTTCTTATGAGCACGACGATGCCGGAAAGGGCGACGAATATCTGCATTTCGCAAGATATGTACCACAGTGGACGGTAGCACTGCCATGACATGAAAAGAGAGAATAAAGCGGTACGCATGAATTACCTGCAGCGACGAATAAGAAAAGAAAACATGGCTAGTCTCTCCATCATAGCAATCGGTGTAACACGATAGTGAAGGGCATCTACAGAGAAGTGGCATACATTATGTAGAAATTATGAGAGTCTATACAGCGTCTATTGGTGGATGCCACTCTCTTAAAAAGTTAGTAAAAGGGTAGCAACTGCAAGCAAAAAGGTACTAAATGGAGCGCTTGCATTTCTTGAACCATTATTAACCTTTTGCTACCCGTTTACTCCCTATGTTAGCACACAGATTGTAAGTGGAATCAAATAGACAGTAACTACAGCCTTTACTAACTTCCTTGCAGCGTGACTAAGCTTTCGCTAACAGGCCGTGAACTATCTAAATTAAAATAGATGGTAACACTTATATTATTAAGTTATTACTATGAGTGAACTCGTCTCAACGTATCATCTTCATCTTGAAAACTGACACAGGAGATATCAAAAGATGATGAAAAGATTCTTTTTAAAATTGCGCAACCGAGATATGTATAGGCATCATTCTGCCATTTTCAAAACACAGAAGTACAAGCTAATGAGCAATAAGCAAGTTCTGCACGCGTTTTAGTGGAGTATTACAACCAACTTAACAGGTGAGAAACAGTATACGGTTATGCAGAGTTAGCACCTTGGTCATTAGTTCACGTCGTATAAGCACGCGATAACATGTACCATGGCCGCTGGATGGAATCGCACTTTGATCAAGCGGCCGTGCATGTACGTGGGTGACCCCTTTGGTGTGCACTTATAGTTTCCATAATCAAATTAGAAAAAAAATATATGCGCCAAGAGTCAGACTTTTCAGTCGTTAGTAGTTATAAGCTATTCGCCTTGCCGCTTGTGGTGCAATGAAACAGGTCGAGCGACGTATCACCGGCACGTAAAGCAGTATGCTCGCCGCCGGCAGTAGTAAATTTGCGTGCGCTTCTCCAATATACAGTTCGTCGTCGCAATGAAAATATATCGCGGATCACAATTATTTCTTGAATATTGGTACCGCGCGACACGGTTTCAAGCAGAAGACTAACTGCTTCTCCGTCCCCTTCGTTTTTCTGAGGCTCGACATACAGGTTACAATATCATACGCGAGTATTTTTGGTTTCTTGAACGCGCGTGTCCTTAGCAGCCGACTATAGTCGGCTCTCAAAAAGCGGCTTCGTACAGCACCATTCTCTGTTCTGCATTTCCTGGTAAGTGAAAGGAAAAACAAACACGCGAAGCGGCAATAATGAGTCCTTGGATCACTGATGCACACATCGGTGCACGTGGCTGCCTGACATGCGAGAACGCCGCGACAGGAAAGAGAAGATCGCCGTCATGTGAGCCGTGTGCTTTAAGGACAGCAGCGCCCCGCCATAGAGGAAGGCAAGACAAGAAACTGATGGGGTGTTGAAACACATTGCTTGGGAACGCACCGCACTGATACGAAACTGCTAGCGCTACACGTGCAGAGTTGTTTTAGAAAAAAATAAATAAAACTACATGACCTCACTTCCCGCTGATCGTAACCGGCAAACGCGACAGATTCGTCGAAACACGAAATAATCGAGCCAGACAGTACGTGCATGATGTGATTGTAAATTTCTCATTGCACAGCACTGTGGTGTCACTTTTTTTGTGCGAACCACAATACTGCACAACATGCCTGACTACATGACTTTATACATAAGACCTGGTGTGAGTAATCCCTTATTGTATGTTTTATGCTTGATAGTGCTGACTCTTCTTGTATTTTTATCTGCAACATTAGCAAAATAATTTTTAGTACTGAACTTCTCCTTAATATGTGATCTGCTACATGCTGCTCATGTATATTGTGTAATGAAACTAGTTCGGAAATTTTCTTTCATACTGTCTCAGTCAAACACGATGCAATAGCGCGCTACAAAGACATTGCAAGGAAGGAGGTTAGAAGAAACGCTTTGCCGCTTAAAGCGAAGCCAACTCACGTTCGAACGCGCCGTTATAAAGTTAGATTCAGAAAAAAAGAAGACTAAAGTGCTTTTTGTGAGAAAGACATCCGAAAAAACGGCAGATAATGCTTTTTTTAATCTCATAATATGTACCTAGAAGCAATCTAAGGCGCTAGCCTCCACAAAGCTCCGAACTTTGAGGACAGCAAGAGAAAGGTGAACATGCGACGGAGATCGGTAAGTGACTTTTGGAGGATTGATGGCGGTATTGTAGGCAGGAAATACAAACGAAATGGCATGGAATACAAATTGACACTACCGTGAAACCAAGCAAGGTAAGGTATCAGCTGACATTTCTTTTTTTATAAAAAAATTGACTTACTTCAGCTAAGTAATGCATTAAGCATAAACGAAAACTAAGCATATAGTTGACGGATCATCGCACTTTTTTTTTAGAGCAAACGGCCATTGCAATGATACGTTTATTCAGGAAGGTAAAAGTAAGGGCATATGACCAGACATACAGATGAACGAGGAGGATTCAGGGTGGTGACCAGGACAGTGCTAAGGTGACTGCATTGTACAGCGCTAAGGCGACTGCAGAAGGAAGTCATTGGGACTCCTTTTGCTTGCCCCTTCTTTATGCAAGGGAGTCGACCATGAAATTAGAAAGCCTCAGATTATATTCGCGCGTCAACTATGCGAGGTCTCAGCCAGCACAGGAAAGCAAATCGCCTACGATTACGACGGCATACGCACTCCAGGTCGCGAATACGGAAGACCTTGGCTGCTACGTGGGCAATCGCTTTTGCGTGTGTAGGCAATTTGTAACGCTGACTAAACGACGAGCGGGTGCCGGGCCTACAGTGTAGGTGCGCCATACTCTGAGCGCGTTCGACTCGTTCGCACGGTTCCGCGACTTGTCTGTGTAACAGGCGAGACGATATTTTCAAAAATTTCCGTACTAATCCCATACCCTTTTCGACGCGCCAGTACACGAGGTATCGCTGTAAAGTAAACACAGAAGAACAATACAAAACAAAATGCTACCTGAACGAACGTCAGTTGAACGAACCATTCAGTTGCACGCACTTTTTTCGAATCCCGATCTCCCGACAAAGTGCCGTTTGACCCAGTGTGTTTATATCGACGAAGTATTGTGCGGAGCGGATTTCAGTTCTACAAACATATTTTATGACACCACCCAATGGCACCCACATCATAATTATCACAAGTGCAACCGCACTTTCACTACAGCATAGGTTTGTCGTGCTCTTGGCGATAAGGTCCGCCTCACGGCTCTTCAGATTTAGAGGACCATGTCGGCAGTGACTCTCGCGTTGAAACATGCGCCACCCTGTCTACAGAAGAGAGGGTAGCGAGCGTCCTGCTCCAGGAAGAAGAGGACGAGAAAGGAGTGGTAGAGTAAGGAGGGATTCAATGTTGAAGGCGCTCGGCTGCTGGCCTGAAGGTCGAGGGTACAATCTCGGCCACCGCAGTCACATTTCTGTGGAGGTCAAATGATTGAGGCTCGAGTACTGTGCGGTGTCAGTGCAAGCAAAAAACATACGGTTGAAATTGACGTATCCCTCTTCTACGGTGTCTCATAAGCATATCATGATTTTGGGACATAATGTCCTACATATTGTTGTTATTAAAGACTCAACTACGCCATCACTCGCAATGCAATAGTGGCACAAAAAAGTGCTTGCAGGTTATGTATTCCAACTGAGGGAATGCTTTGTTGCTTACAAACAAACAAATAATTGCCAACAAGATGCAGAGAACGTAGCTGCCGGCAGGGCCATAGCTAAGAGGTAGTTGGAGGGGTTCTGAAACCCCCCGGAATTTTTTCGCACTTTAACTTTTCTGGTGGTACAATAGTATATACACGTACTGACATCGACTAGCAGCTGCCAAAGTTTGGCGTTCAGCTCATCAACATCCCCGCGAAAAAAATTCCTGCGCGCAGCTTGGGATTTCTCAAAGCACTAACACTAGCTGCTGGTACACGTGCCCTCTGGCATCTGCTGTCAAGTTTTCTGTCCCTATTCGCGATATGCCTGGAGCGAAGCCAGCGACAGGTTAACTCTTTCACGGTACACTTGACCTTGTGAACACTCTTGATATGAACGCCTCTTCCGGTGATCTCGTGTTAGGTTATATATATATATATAGTCACGTGCAACGTGGTTAGGTGACAAACACCACCCAGTTTAACCAGTGGCATAGTGAACTGGATAGGGTTCTGGGATACTATTTCATCGTGATACTACCTAGCCCTGTACTATAATTCTCGTGACGGGTACAAACGACCGCCCCAGTCATTCAGTGTAGTCAGAAGGCAGCAGAATTTCACTCTGCAGTACCCACTTTTACAACCTGGAGCAACCGTGTGCTCAGATTTGGGTGCACGTTAAAGAATCCCAGGTGGTCGAAATTTCTGGAGCCCTCTACTACGGCGTCTCTCATAATCATATGGTGGTTTTGGGACGTTAAACCCCACAAATCAATCAAATCAACAACCTGGAGCAATATAATAATTCTTTCGCCGAGGTTTCTCCCTCCTACTCAGTGTTACTTTAAACACACACACACACACACACACACACACACACACACACACACACACACACACACACACACACACACACACACACACACACACGCACACGCACACGCGCACGCACACACACACACACACACACACACACACACACACACGCACACACACACACACACACACACACACACACACACACACACACACACACCGTGTACTCAGATTTGGGTGCACGTTAAAGAACCCCAGGCGGTCGAAATTTCCGGAGCCCTCCACTACGGCGTCTCTCATAATCATATAGTGGTTTTGGGGCGTTAAACCCCATATGTCCATCCATCAAAAAAAAAAAAAACATACCACGTACAAGCTACTGCAATGGTTAGTGCCGGTTGTCAAAACCACGGTTACACCATGGTCAAAACACACGCTGCTGTGCTGAGGCTTCCGAATAGAGGCACAAGGGCGCTACCACGCCACGCTCAAAGGTTTCCGCGTGTTTCGCCTCACCGCCGCTGCTTGTTTTCGCTATCCACTCGTCCTACTACCCCTGTCTAGTTCACTATACTTGAGGGAAGTTGCTAACCGCAATTCGTATGCTCAACTCCTTCCCACGTATTACGTGCTTCCCACGTACTACGTGCTTGCATTCGTTGAGTGACTAACGGAATTCGCGTTCGTCTTCAAACGTCAATGCACACTCGTTGGACATGGCGGAGTGGAGCGGTGGAACTAGGTTGGCTTCCACCGGAGCTCTGTCTTTTTTCATGTTCGGCTGGTTCACCGATATTCACCAGGAATGGTTCAAGAATTTATGTAGGCTTTTTTCTCGGACACTGCCACAGTGCCTAAACAACAGCAGACGGGAATCACCTGCATTCATAATTGATAGAACTCATCTAATTACGATTACAAATATCGCATCAAGCATGCTGTTGTTGTATTACGCGTTTGTTTCTGCTACGCAATTCACTTCGCATGATGTTCGCCGATGTCCGTTACAAGATTTTTGTTATATATAGTTATGTATACTGCTTCCGTCCTACTGTTATTATTGTCTATGCTCTTTTTTATTTGCTTTGTATGGTCCCCCGTTCTGCAATGCATGTATTGGCTGAGGTTATTGAAATATTTATATAATTAATCTAACAAATAAATAAACTTTCACTGCATGACCGCGCCTCTGAAGTTGAGAGTATACTTTCACATACAATTATTTTTTTTCCGGAGGACACCTACGCGGTACTGTGGAGACGCATTTCTAACACATTGCGATATATCAGAAGTGTCAGGACGTAGAGACATTGCAAGGCTTTCGTTCTGCACATAAAAGAAAACAAAAAGATGCCATACACCTCGATGTATGACGAAGTGTTATAAATTATAATGTAAGCGCCTTCTAGCACTGCAGAAGCGTCTCCACTAAGCTGCCACTTCCTTATATATACATTAACCCGCAAAACACAAGTAAATTTATAAAGGCATTGCAGGTACTCACCACATCGTCGTGTCCGTGCAAGTTGTTGAGGTGCACGACCACGAAGCCCCATCGCCTGCGGCAGACGTCACCGAGACGCGGCAGAACCCTGTCGGCGGCTGGACCGTCCACGAATAGCGGGTAAAGCACGAAGGCGCCCAGGGTGAACAGAGTAGATGCCGTCAGCCTGCGTGTGGGTTAAGTCACACGTCGCCATAATTAGATGTAGCAACACATGACACGAATTCCGCTGAAAAAAAAAAAACCCTCACATCTTTACTGTCTACGTTTCTTACATTCAGTGGCGGATCCAGAAGAGATCAGTATAAACGCTCTATCACCCCCACCGTCCACCTGAAAGCTTGAGACATTTTCCCGACCTCCCCCTCACCCCCTCAGTGCTTCCCACCCGTGGTCGCACCGGCCACCCAGCCCCATGCCTAATAAAACTTTGCCTAGCATATTGTTCCTATATCTGAAGTGTGGTAGCCCATAACTTGTTTCAATTTTTCGAAATTATTACGAATGAAAAACCAATTAAACAAATGACTGGAACCCATGTGAAAACAAATCAAGAGTATTTACGCTGCTATAGGGTTCTTGTGATAATAGTAGCTAATGAAAACAGAAATCAGGACCCACTTTTCCCGGTTTCCCTTGCGTCTCTAGAGAAGTATTTATATGAGGGAAAAAACGAGAAAAGTGAGCCCCGTAACTGTCTGCATCAGGGTGCGACACCTCAACAGTATCTCACGAGGGATGGGGGGCAAGGAGGGATTAAAAGGATAGGAATAAAGGTATAGAGAGAGAGCTCTCTACTCACGCTGTTGGTTAAGGAGCTATAAGCGTTTGCCTCTCAGTCAACCTCCGAGCGCTTGAAATTTCTTGCTCACTCTCGAGAGACTCTGTCCTCGGTTTACAGTAAATTTAACTTATACTAAAGAAGCGCGATGAAAGTGTGACCCTGCAAAGCGTTTACTTGTGTTGGAGTTCATTTGACGTAGTTGTTACACTTGGTTCAGGTGTGCGCTTTAAGGAGGCATGGACAGCTGGAATTTAATGTTCCAGTTTATACATAATAAAACATTTAACGTAGTCATGGTTTAACGTTATGAAGCTGAATACGCACTGGAGCAGAGCGCTTTTAGATGCGAAGCTTCTTAGCGTCGAGCTCAATCCGCTGAGTGATGTGACCACCCCTACTGTGCATGCGAATCCCCTCCCCCTCTTCTTGGCAACAATAACGCAGGCAGCGTCTGCTAGTCAACGCTCACTCCACCTCTCTCTCCTCTAGGCAACCCTCGCGGCGGCGTTTTCACGCCCACTGAGTGTGCGCGCCCGCTTTCCCTCCTTTCCTACGCTCCCCCCCTTCTCGCCTTGCAATGACGACACAGGCAGTGTCTGGTAGTATACGCTCGCTCCCCTGTTTTAAATGGGAAGCATTTCTTATGAAAACTTCCGCGACTTTGCGCGTATCTGTCTATCTAGCCACCTACGACTTTTAGCTATCCTGGCCGTTTCCATAGTGGTATCAATACCAAACTTGGTATGTCATAACATGACCGTATGGAGAACTTATCTGACACGTCATAACATGAAAATCATGACATGGATGTCATAAATGTCATGATTTACGTTTCATGTTCCTGCCGCTCTTGCGGTGGTTTCGTTCACATGACATGTTGCAAAACTGGTATGATATGACATGATTGCACGGCGAACACAAGTGACAGACCCTAACATGAAAATCATGACATACGTGTCATGTATTGATCATCATAATCATCATCATCCTGACTACGTCCACTGCAGGACAAAGGCCTCTCCCATGTTCCGCCAGTTAACCCGGTCCTGTGCTTGCTGCTGCCAATTTATACCCGCAAACTTCTTAATCTCATCTGCCCACCTAACCTTCTGTCTCCCCCAACCCACTTACCTTCCCTGGGAATCCAGTTAGTTACCCTTAATGGCCAGCGGTTATCCTGTCTACGCGCTACATGCCCGGCCCATGTCCATTTCATCTTCTTGATTTCAGCTATGATATCCTTAACACCCGTTTGTTCCCTAATCCACTCTGCTCTCTTCTTGTCTCTTAAGGTTACACCTACCATTTTTCTTTTTTCTTTCCATTGCTCGCTGCGTCGTCCTCAATTTAAGCTGAACCCCCTTTGTAAGTCTCCAGGTTTCTGCCCCTTAGCTAAGTGCCGGCAAGATACAGCTGTTATATACCTTCCTCTTGAGGGATAGTGGCAATCTACCTGTCATTATTTGAGAGTGCTTGCAAATGTGCTCCACCCCATTCTTATTCTTCTAGTTACTTCAATCTTGTGGTTTGGCTCCACGCTTATTACCTGCCCTAAGTAGACATAGTCTTTTAAATCTTGAAGTGCACTATTACCTATTTCGAAGCACTGCTCTTTCCCGAGGTTTTTGTACATTACTTTCGTTTTCTGCAGATTAATTTTAAGACCCACCTTTCTGCTCTCCTCGTCTAACTCCGTAATCATGAGTTGCGATTCGTCCCCTGAGTTACTCACCAATGCAATGTCATCGGCGAAGCGCAGGTTATTAAGGTACTCTCCATTAACTCTTACCCCTAACTGTTCCCATTCTAGGCTCCTGAAAACCTCCTGTAAGCACGCGGTAAATAGCATTGGGGAGATGGTGCCCCCCTGCCTTACACCCTTCTTGACTGGTATTCTGTAGCTTTCTTTATGAAGCACTATGGTAGCAGTTCATCCCCTGTAATTTCTTCCAGGATGTTTATATATACTTCAGCGACGCCCTGATTCCGCAGTGTCTGCATGACGGCTGATATTTCTACTGAATCAAACGCCTTCTCGTAATCTATGAATGCTATGCATAGTGGTTGGTTATATTCTGAACATTTCTCTATTACCTGATTGATAGTATGAATGTGGTCGATTGTTGAGTAGCCTGTTCGAAATCCTGCTTGTTCCTTTGGTTGATTGAATTCTAATGTTTTCTTTACTCTGTTAGCAATTACCTTTGTAAATAGCTTGTATACTACAGAGAGCAAGCAGATCGGCCTGTAATTATTCAAGTCCTTGTCATCTCCTTTCTTATGTAATAAGATGATGTTAGCGTTCTCCCAGGACTCTGGTACTCTTCCCGTCAGGATTCGCCTCGTAAACAGGGAGCTAGTTTTTCTAACAGAATCTGTCCTCCATCTTTCAGCAGATCTGATGTTACCTGATCCTCACCAGCAGCTTTGCCTCTTTGCATGCTCTCCAAAGCTTTTATGACTTCTTCTATCACTACTGGTGGCGTGTCATCTGGGTTATTGCTAGTTCTTATAGTATTAAAGTCGTGGTTGTCCCGGCTACTGTACTCCTCCGCTATTTTAACTATCCTATCCATATTGTCAGTTATTTTGCCTTTTTTGTGCCTTAGTGCATACAACCGATTTTTGCCTATCCCAAGTTTCCTTTTGACTGCTTTGACGCTTTCTCCGTTTTTCAGAGCGTGTTCAATTCTCTCCATGTTATACCTTCTTACATCGCATACCTTACGCCTATTAATCAACTTTCAAAGCTCTGCCAGTTCTACTTTGTCTGTACTTGAGACTTTCATGATTTGACGCTTCTTAATGAGATTCTTCGTTTCCTGAGAAAGCTTGCCAGTGTCCTGTCTAACTACCCTGCCTCCAACTACCACTGCACACTCCGTAATGATACTTGTCAGATTATCATTCATTGTATCTATGCTAAGGTTGGTTTCCTCACTAACAGCCAAGTACCTGTTCTGAAGCGATACACTGAATTCCTGTACTTTCCCTCTCAGTGCTAGCTCATTGATTCGCTTCTTGCGAATCAGTTTCTTTCGTTCCTTCTTCAAGTCTAGGCGAATTCGAGACCGTACCATTCTGTGGTCACTGCATCGTACCTTGCCAACCACTTCAACATCCTGCACGATGCCTGGGTGTGCACTCATTATGAAGTCTATTTCGTTCTTATTTTCGTCATTAGGGCTCCTTCATGTCCACTTGCGGTTTCCTCGTTTTCGGTAGAAGGTATTCAAAATCGGTAAATTATTGCGTTCTGTGAATTCTACTAGTAGCTCTCCTCTGGCGTTACTACAGGTTTTCCCGCTCAATTTAATCCAAGCGCCAGCCAAATTAATCTAGGCGCCAGTCAATTTAATCCAGCCGCCACTGAAATTAATCCAGGTGCCCTTCATTTTAATCCAAGTGCCACTGAAATTAATCCAACCGCCAGCCGATTTAATCCGGACGCCAGCGAATTTAATCCTGATGACATTGTGACTTCAAAACGACCCAGAATTTTCGGGAATACGTGAAGTGAATAGCTTTGGAGTGAATTTAACAGGGAAAAACCATGAATGAGTCACTCGTGACACAATGTGACTCGCGCGACATTCTCTCGCCTATCACCCGCGTAAGCACTATTCACACCTTCGACATGCATAGCAAAGGAAAAGCCGTCCACACAGTAATAACTTGATAATTATTAACCAGGCCAATGATCTCATCACGAGTGACTTAGGTGATGTCCTCACGCATATCACCCATGCACGCACTGTCTTAACCTTCCGTCATGCATATCAAATGAAACGTCTTTGAAAGGGCGGCATCTTGATACCTAAAACTCGGCCAAGTCACCTGATAACCAGTTCCTCAAGGGACGTCATAACAAATATCACCCGCGCACGTTATTTACTCGCCTGCCGACATGCATGCCAAACGAAACGTCTTTGAGAGAGCAATAACGTGGTACCTATGACTCGGCCAACTGACTTGATCACTTGTGATTTAGGTGACGTCATCACGCCTATCACCCACGCACGCAATGTCTAACCTGCCATCATGTATACCAAACGAAACGTCTTCGAGAGGCTAATAAATTGAACGCTGTCAATCGGCAGAGTGACGTGATCACTAGTGACTCGTGTGACGTCATCGCGTTTGACACCCACGCACGCAGCGTCTAACCTGAGTTCATACATATCAAATGAAACGTGTTTGAGAGAGTAATAACTTGAACGCTGTCACAAGGTCCAGTGACGTCATCACTAGTGACTCGCGTGACGTCATCTCGCCTAAGACTCACGCAAGCACTCTATATGTGCCTTCATGCATATCAAACAAAAAACGTCTTTGAAAGGTAATAACTTGAATGCTGGCACTAGGCCGCGGGACGTCATCAC